AACTAAGAGTTTCTAAAGAAATGGACAGACACTTCCTAACAGTTTGCTTCTGAATGTGCGCGGAACAGCCCGGGTTGTCCACTAGCTCAGCACCCCCTCCCCGCTTCCTCGTGCGACAATCTTGGAGAAGTCCGCCACCACGCGGCCGGCCACACGTCTTGGAGCATCGGTCGCCTGGTATGGCTATCGGCGCTCAGTTCAGGTCGTAACACATTGAGATATCCTTGCGTTTTTAGACATCAACCGTCGTGAAATTGAAGCGCAGAAAATGTCATCTGACCCGAAAGCAATCCGACCACTTGACGGTCCCGATTAGAATGATAGTCGGATATGCGTTGCGTTATCAGCATTTACTTAGGGCCTGCAGCAGGCCATTAAACATGCCTACTCTATAAACACGTGTTGGCGAACGCATCAAACTGACGAGATACCCTTACACGTTAACGCCGTGCCGCCCTGCGCTCCAGGAGTCTGTGATGTGTTTAGGCGTCCAGCTGTAGTTTCCAGTGCCTTTATCTGGCGACGTTAGTCTACTAATCGGAGCAGCATCAAAGCGGGCGCCGCCCGGACCGCCGGCCGGGCCCGCGGCGAACCCGAGATTCGGCCTTATATCGGCCGGAAGCCGGACCAGCACCTAGATCAAACGCGGTCCGACCGTCTGGTGCGCCGACAGAGCCGCCACGGCACGTGACAATCCCGACCGCAGCGCGGCCGCTGAGGTCACGCCCTGTCCGGGCCGGGGCCGTCTCGCGGCCGCGCTCCGACGGCGCGGGGGTCGGCGCCGCTAGCGGCAGCTCCCAAACTCTGCGCCCAGGCTGCGCGGCTCCGCTCGAGTCACGCTTCATGAGACAGTGTGAAACGGGTTACAACGCAGGTGAGCAAGATGCCTGAACCCGAAACCGGTTCAGGCCCAGACCAGGAGCAATGCTGGGAGTGGTGCAAGGCAAGAATAGCATCGATTCTTGTCCAGGGGCTCAACAACCAGAACGATACTAAAACTATCTATCTATCTATCCACTCACACACACACACACACACCACACACACACACACACACACACACAACACACACACAACACACACACACACACACACACACCACACACACAACACACACACACACACACACACCACACACACACACACACACATTATAATATATATATATATTATATATATTATATTATATATATATATATATATATGCCCACACGTCATGATTCGCATACTAATCACAAGTCGTGGTGACAGGCTCTTTCTGACGTTTGCTATATAAGCTCGCAGCACGTTCCACAAGACATCAGCCTCATGAACGCCACGAAGGTTAAGCACGTAACGCAACCAAACTCAACCACCACAAACACACACGCTATGTGGCTCGACCCACTACCTGGGCCACATATCATTTTGAGTAAATCGAACTTGTAATGGGTATGGGGTTACCACGTGTGACTTCGTTATATGGTGTTAACGACTCCAAGATTCTCGAATCAACGCCCGCATATTCCTTATTCTAAGATATGAAAGCTGTTTTCTATAATAATGGACCAGTATCCACATGCTGGTATCTGTTCTCGTATAGTGGAGCGTTCAGGTTAAGCGAGAGATTGTCCCGTCCGGGTAGCTGTGCCTAAATGTTGTTGAATGCATCTGCGCATGTTGCGAAGAATGAAACCTACGCACGGCACCCCGCAAGTCACGACAAAACTCATAAGCAACAATGCAATTCACAACAACTGGTGAGCTATTAGCAGCATTTAAGTAGCGTACCCCTACGTTTGGAGAAGTTCTCACTGAGAAGTAGTGCACTAAAGTCACTCCAGGATCTGAAAGTGGCTGCAATTTCGAGGGGAACCTGACCCTTCCCCTATACGAGGGGAACCCACTCGCATATGATATCCCACTTTTAAAGGGCAAGGAGCATTACTCACATTGATATAGCAGTATAAATAGCCTTAGTCCTCAAAGAAAAAACCAGGAGAATGGAGATATAGTCGCGTTGATATTTCGGCAACATGCCTTTATCGAAACAATAGCAAGAGTGAATTCAAAATTGCCTGCCGATGATCTTACTCGATTTTCAGTTCTTTTTTTTTGAAACAGCAAACCACAGCTTTTTACAGGACGCCAACACTCAGGGGATTAAAACAAAGAGCGATTTTCCAGCCTTCCACGATACAGTGCCTATCTAAAATTAAAATACGCGAACATACATGTGCATGCAAACGTATTCAGGCAAATAGGCATCACGCATCACGCTTCATTTAAACATGCAAGCGAGTTGAAGAAAACGGGCATCACGCATCGCGCATCAATTATACATGCAAGCGATCTGAATTGCACAGGCATCGTACATCACGCATCAGGCATTACTTACGCATGTAAACGATTACAAGCTACACATCACACATAAAGGCGCATATCACGCTCACATAATTGGCAAAGAGGAGCCCTATATGCTGACATTTTGGTCACCAACATTCTATAAGAATGAATTCAGTGAAACTGTTTTTATCTGTTTAAAAAAACATGAAAAATAGAGTACGATTATCGGCAGGCAATTTTGAATTCACTTCTGCTATTGCTTTGATAAAGGCACGTTGCCGAAATATCAACCCAACTATGCCTCCACTCTCCTGTTTTTTTTTTTCGAGGAATAAGGCTATTGCTGCTGTCTTATCTATGTATCCTGATTCTGCTTATGTCGTGGGCCTTAACCCTTGTGGTGTTGATGTGTTTTTCGCCTGGAGATACCGTTGATGATATATATATATATATATATATATATATATATATATATATATATATATATATATATATATATATATATATATATACGGACCAACACATGGACTAGTCCAGGGCTGGGTCAGGACCGACACCGGGACTGGTCCAGGACCAGACGGCAGATACTACTCAGGTCCGCCGCGGGATGCTGGTGGCAGCATCGGACCCGATGCTCCCACGCCCCACGTCTCGTGCCACCACAGACATCCCCAGAACAGAGCGCCGACTAACTGGCAACAAAATTGAGGCTCTAGCAAAAATAGTGTTAGCGCGCTTTTTCTGCAACGAAACTGTTTGCTTCATCTGACTCGACTGACGTGGCAATGTATAAATTGCAAAGCTTGGCAAATTAAACCTGGGTTGGAGTTGTGCGTAGCTAATGCTTTTAGCCATTTGAGCACGCCCTGTGGATAACTCACTCGCGCCTCTAGACATGGCCTGAAGTGTTCCAAGGGCATGGCCAAGGTATTCGGCGATATTGTGTAGAATGGTATTTGGCATATCTTGCCTGATTGTCTAGCTTATTCTAATATGTGACCTGACCAACCCGTGGAGCCCTTAATTTCAGTAAAAAAGGGACATTCACCATCATGGTCAAGGATGGTTGGTTGCTTGATGTTACAACTATTGCTTGCCTACTTAGCGAACGAAACGGCAGTGCCATAATGGCAGTAACACGCTCGTACTGCAGCCTTCGAGCACAGAAAGTGTGTTTTCTTTAACTTCATGCCCGTCGCAAAGTTAAAACTCGGTGCAATAGTTACGGACTCGCTAAAAGTGAGGCATGCATTCAACTACACTCAGTACAGTGTTCACTACATGCATCACTTACAATCACACAAGAATTGCGCCGCATTATGACCCCGTCTGTTATGACGGCGCCCGCCTCGAAGCATGCTTGGCATGCCTGCAATCCGATGCACAGGCCGCTTTGCGGTCTGCCACAAGGGCACTGGGCTGTGCGCTGCTTGAAAAGGGAACAAAGGCTCCCTGACACAGCCAAATGCATAGCCCCGAACACCCTTGTT